AAACAAAATACAATAACCAGATATTTAACAATCCCCAGCAAACAGGTCAACTCTACTGCCAAACTCCGCAACCAACTGTCGTACACATACACACGACACAGCACACGTCAACTATCAGTCTCCACGTGAACACCTATCATTCCATAACACAACACAGTCAAGGGCTACAACTATGTACACATTAGCAGTACCGGTCTTTGGATAACACAATCAGGGGAGGCTACAAGTGAGGGACCCAACTTCCCTCCCCTTCACATCACTTCTTGTAAGAGATCCACTGTTTACAATTTAATTTGCCGCAACCAAACGGATGTTCCAACTCTCGACGAGTTCTAGAAATACAATCAGTCGCATTCGGGCAAGTAATATTCGGGCGTATGTCGTATTTGCGCATGCGTCCATTCGGGTGTTCGTCGCATTTGGTCAAGTGTCCATTCGGGCGTTTGTCGCGTTCGGGCAAGCGTACATTCGAAAAATTGTTTTTTAGGGCTTTTTTTTTAAATGCGTTCATCCATATTTGTGGAAAAGGCGATCTAATGAATTAACAAGTTAAGATAGTTTAAACTTGGGTCTATTTAATTGATCTGTGTTATTTGGGTCTGTAAGTCTTAGTAATATGAGTTTTTTATGCATATGTGTATTAATTGGATCTTTTTCTGTGTAACATGCTCTGTATATAAGTCCCTGTTACATTTATGTAACAAGATTTTAAATATATGAGTTAATTTAGTTTTGGTCTGTACTATGCCTTTACGATACTGTACTACATTGGAAATTGTTTGTTTTTTCTGTTTCTAAAGTGTTTTTTAATGGACACATTCAATGTGTGATATTAAAATTTACGACGGACTGTAAAGGAATTTAAAGTAACTTTACTAGAGTGTAGGCAAAATATAATTGAATAAATGTGTGTTATTACACACATTTGAAAACTTTTGTAATTGAGATGTATACATAGACAAGGGACGCAATACTGTTCACTCAAGAAAATGACTGGATGTAAAAAAAAATGTAAAAAAAATGTTTAATCATTACAATATATTCTATAATCTACAGAAAAGATAATTTAATTTCGTTGTAATATTCACTAAACACTTATATTTAGCTTAAAGCCTATTTTAGGTAATTTAGCGTATTTTATTTATTTTGGTCTGCTCCTTTCCACTACATGAGTAACTAAGGTCAAACTTGGGTGTGTTTTAATCAGGCCTTTTATTATGCAGGGTCTACAGTACAAATCACGTTGTATATTGGTTTTTCTTTACCCAAAATATTGATTTAGCTGAATCTTCACATGTCTACTTAATAACTATATTTCATACTAATACATTTTACAAATAAAATCATTTAAAATGTTAACAGAATTGCAGTTATGCTCGTTTTGTATACTAAACCTTTTTTTTTTAAGTTTTAATCGAAAAACTTTGTGTTATGTCATTTGAATGTTTAGCGTGTGAGTTGTTTTTCTTATTTACCCTCACGCTACATCAACAGCGTGGTCAAGCGATAAATACCTAGACTGCTAACTCAACTGTTTGGAGTTCAAGTCGGTAGAACGTTCATGATTTCACCCAGCACTAATGAGTACCTAACTCGAGTTAGGGAAAGTAAAGGCGGCTGACCACACTATCCACTCATATGCCGAGGTGACAGAAACACGTTAACTCTACTTCACTTTCCCTATGGACCGTCAGGTTCCAAAAGTGAACACAGACCGACGACTTGTCGGACGTTCTTTTAGGTAGTTGGACTGTGGTTTTCTGTTGTTTGCCGTTACGCATCAATGCTTCAATACTGTTAGTGAATGGCAGCACCGCCTGAATCACTTCTAACTTGTGGGTAAAGGCAAAAGGTGGGAGTCGACAGTCTATTTATCCCCACTTTCACAGTTCAACTAATAGAGTTAGAGTCGATTCCTTTGTACCTTTCACCTTTTTCATGTGTTTGGTCAATATAATTTGACACCGGTTTTATGAATCAGTAAAGATTTCCTGTTAGGTTTACCAACTGCCTCCGTTTTACAAACAACATTATACTTTTTTTCTCCTGATGACCGGAGGCAGCCATTTTCTAATGCCCTTGTGACCTATTTTGTCAGTGTGGACAGTACCAAACTTTATCCCGATTCTCTCATATGGAGATTTTCGTATGTATTTTAAGGTCTTGTGGTGACGTAAGTTACTTTAATTTCACCATAGTAATAATGACCTTTTATCTACAAAATAGGCACCCCGACCATGACAGAGAAGTGTGAAAAAAATTATCTTCCATTAACGAAGCATGTGATACGTACAACTAATAAAAATATTACACAACTCATGACACAACTGTTAGTAGAGAAATAAAAACATTTTACTCAAGGAAAGATAAACTATAAAATAATACTGCATTTTTTTTAAAGCAAAAGTTGTTTTTTTTGTAATACCGTTTCATTAGATACCGTATTCTAATTTTGATTTGTGATGTTTATTTGTGTTTCAGCTTATGTTATGTAAGAAGTTAAAAAAAACACCATGTACAGTATTTGTAGTTGCCTACAACAATAGGTTGTTTATAATGAAATGGGAGACGTCTTATTATTTAAATACATCCTAAAGTTTACCTGGCATGCACATGAAAATAGTGATGGATACGATGACTGTACTGTTGATCTAAGTTGGCCACAATGATTAACATTAACTGCACTTATAACCGTTGTATACGCTACTAAACCATGTCAAACACATTATTCATTACAAATTAAAATTAAGTTGCAATTTTCACATTTCCAGTTTAAACATTTAATTAAATGTTAAAAATAAGATAGTAAAACACTGTGTAAAGAAAAATAAATTCATTTCCAACTTTTAAATGTATGTTTAATAGAATACTTTGAAAACTGTAACATATTTTTTTAAAATATTTAAGTATGAAAATTATAATACGAATAATATTTGTAAAGAAGAGTTCAAATTGAAATTAGTGTTGTAACGCATTTTTTAAAAATTAAAACAAAACTCAATGAAAGCGCATGATAAAAAACATGCGATGCAAAATATGTAACAGTAGAGTCTACGACTTCCAATGTTGATACTCAGGGCATACACACATCAGACAGTTGAGCTGTACTCTGCTCGATGCCTCTCTGTAGAGATCACTGCTTCAGTGTAGAGTTTCATTGTCTCGTACACAAGTATATACTGTTGCTGTAGGTAAACAAAGAACATATATATCATAGGCCTTTTTGTATATGTTGCATAAATTAGAAAAAAAAATCGAAAACATTTGCAAAGTGTACATTGGCACACATTAAATGTACACAAGTACTTGGACAACGTAAGATAAAGAAAATAATTGGTTAGACTTACAAGTGTTGGAACGGCGTGCGGTCTGATGGATTTGACTTTACCAACAACAGCAGGAACGGTCAAATAGTTCTCTTGGTCCAGTCTGTCCATCAGAGTTGTCACAACATAGGCCAGTCCACTCAGTTCGGCGCCGTTTCTTGGAACAAAAATAATTTAAAATACAAACATGAGGTTAAAGGTGAAAGGTCAGAAATAAGTTTGTTTACTTTAGATGGTTATCTATAAATAACACTGCAGTTCTCCAGTTTTATCTGTATATATCTAATTACCCACAATAGTAACTTTATCTACAGATATCTAATTATCTCCAGTAGTAATTTTATCTGCAAATATCTAATTATCTACCGTAGTAATTTTATCTGCGAATATCTAATTATCTATAGTAGTAATAAATAATATGGTTAAGTAAGTTAATATGGTTAAGTAAGTTTTGCACTTAACTTAATTTCTATTTGACTCGTAGATGAAAACTTTTACTTTGGTGTGGTTGTAAAAAGAATGGGTATGGACGGGGGGGGGACTACATCATGTATCACGCATCCTAGCTATAACACTAAGTAGGCATAAGTTCTACGATCCATATGGAAAAGGAAGTATATTTCATAACTTTTTTTACACTGGGATATGAATGTGGGGATAAACTATCCCCGTCCGCCTTTACTTTCCCCAACGCCAGTCATGTACCCATCAAGCCTGGATAGAGTCAGAAATGTCCGGAAACACCAGTCATGTACCCATCAAGCCTGGATAGAGTCAGGAATGTCCGGAAACACCAGTCATGTACCCATCAAGCCTGGATAGAGTCAGGAATGTCCGGAAACACCAGTCATGTACCCATCAAGCCTGGATAGAGTCAGGAATGTCCGGAAACACCAGTCATGTACCCATCAAGCCTGGATAGAGTCAGGAATGTCCGGAAACACCAGTCATGTACCCATCAAGTCTGGATAGAGTCAGGAATGTCCGGAAACACCAGTCATGTACCCATCAAGCCTGGATAGAGTCAGAAATGTCCGGAAACACCAGTCATGTACCCATCAAGTCTGGATAGAGTCAGGAATGTCCGGAAACACCAGTCATGTACCCATCAAGCCTGGATAGAGTCAGAAATGTCCGGAAACACCAGTCATGTACCCATCAAGCCTGGATAGAGTCAGGAATGTCCGGAAACACCAGTCATGTACCCATCAAGCCTGGATAGAGTCAGGAATGTCCGGAAACACCAGTCATGTACCCATCAAGCCTGGATAGAGTCAGGAATGTCCGGAAACACCAGTCATGTACCCATCAAACCTGGATAGAGTCAGGAATGTCCGGAAACACCAGTCATGTACCCATCAAGCCTGGATAGAGTCAGGAATGTCCGGAAACACCAGTCATGTACCCATTAAGCCTGGATAGAGTCAGGAATGTCCGGAAACACCAGTCATGTACCCATCAAGCCTGGATAGAGTCAGGAATGTCCGGAAACACCAGTCATGTACCCATCAAGCCTGGATAGAGTCAGGAATGTCCAGACCGATCGCTCTACCACACCACCACGACGTTTCAGTTAAAGATCTATCGGTCTATATACTGCGTTGGTGACTTTAATGGAACTGTGTATGTCGGGGGGTTAAAGGTGACGATGCTATCTGATGTTATAGATTTAGTCTAGCTAGTGGTGGATGGGCGTAAGTTAAAGCTTATATTCAATACCAAAGACAACACACAATTCAAACATGCATGCATGTACAATTACGCATATGGTTGCTATAAATAAATAAAACGCATAACCAACACACTTGCCTGCACGTGTAAACTACTGACTTATCCGGAGTTCTCAACGATCGCGCGTATTGAACAAACGGCAGGAACTTTTTGGGTTCGATATGACGCTCTGTAAACGTGAGATGAGTCACTTCTTGCGTTTGTTTCCCCTAAGAGAAAGGAAAAAAATATGTTTTTTTTTTAAACTAAGTTCGAGCTACAGTGTCCTTTCTTACATTGTAAAAAATATTGGTAAAAAATGAAAAATTCAAAGCAGCATTTTAATACTAGTAAACTTAAAAATCCCGAAACACAAACATAAACACTATGTAGACATTTTAATATACACCAACATTTATATTTTATATAAACAAACTTCTATGCATATATATATATATATATATCTGTATATGAATATATATGTATATGCATGTTTTAATAGTTACATATAAATATATATATATATATATATATATATATATATATATATATATATATATATATATATATATATATATATATATATATAAATGTATTCTTGTGTAACATCTTAATTGCATATTTCGCGTTTCTATGATGAAAAGCGTACACTATATAGACGTGTAAGATGTCAGCAGTGTATTGTGCAACCTTACCTTAACGGTAAGCTTCATTTCTGTCCATGTTGGTGCTGCAGTTACTGACTCGACATTGACAGCTATGTTCCCACATTGTAACGGCTGGCCTTGTTCTTCAGGTAAGTAGATAGCTAAGGACTGGAGAAAAAAAAGCATGTTTTTTTTGTTAACTTTATGTCAACATTTACACGTTGAAGGTCGGGGTGCTTTAGATTTTGGTATAACAAACTGTATATTAGGCCGTCAAGAAACCACTCGCTGCAGAAGTGACAACATCAGATTTTTCCCGTCCAACTCCTCAAGTCAACATTCCGTCATGGGTTCTTCAGTTACTTGTAAGCCTTTCACCATATTTTATGTTTGGTTGGCTTGAGTCGGGTACCTATATACAGCTCGATACATTTTTCCCACGTTTTCTTTAACTTGCTTTCTCTGTTTGTTTTTCCAATAAAATCTTGCGATCGAAATTTCTGGCACTTTCCAGTTAGCTAGCGCGCTGAAATTTTCAGGGAAGCTTTCTTTTGGATGACCATAGAATATTCAATTGTTATTATTACTAAATTCATCAATGGTAACATTTTATTGAGCATTTTAGACCGCTATATACTCTATATATATAATTCTCCTCTGCGAGCCATTAGAAAAAAAAAACGAGCGACGCGTAGCTCACCTCTCTCTTGCCGCGCGCAGTGACGCGAAACGATCCCACGTCGCGACAGGCTTAGGGGCAGATAATTTAGTTTGAACCGACTTTAAACTTACAGGAGGTAACTATTACCACTGGTGGCCAGTTTGGGGGAGACGATATGGTCGAGTGGTTGGGCACACGATTGCTATCCCACTCGACACGGGTTCAAATCTATGTTTTCTAGTCAGTAAGCAGCCCTCGTCCTAACCGCTATCAACTAACCTCTGACAATCATTCACTTGCGATTGAGACCGAAGAAGAAAGGGTCTCTCGTTTTTTACGAGTTGTCTTTTTACGAGTTGTCTTCGTTTACCCACAAAAAGTGAAAAGATAAAATCGATAGCAAGATTTCAATGCAAACAAACAGACAAAGACTAAAAAGTAGAAAATAATAATCATTAAAAAAGTTTAGAAAAACCCACGTTTTCTGATTGAACTAAAAAGTAGAAAATAAATACTATACATCACAATAATGCAAGCGATCACTCTACTATAAGCGATGAAAAACGTGGGGCGCCGTGATTTTCTTACAGTTTCTAATACTGTTGACTCTCTACAAGCTCCCTAATAAAAGTCAATAGTATTATCTAATCAATAGTAATATAAATTTTACTTCGGCGCCCCACGTTTTTCATCGCTTATAGTAGAGTGATCATTTTCTACTTTTTAGTTCAATCAGAAAACGTGGGTTTTTTAAAACTTTTTTAATGATTATTATTTTTAAACATCTGAACCAAGCTCTTATCCCTGGTCACAAGCCGAATTCGACACAGAACGCTTCTATTATTAGCTTCAATTATTAGCTTCTATTTTTAGCTTCTATTAATAGCTTCTATTTTTAGCTTCTATTATTAGCTTCTATTATTAGCTTCTATTATTAGTTTCTAATATTAGCTTCTATTATTTGCTTCTATTATTAACTTCTATTAATAGCTTCTATTATTAACTTTTATTACTAGCTTCTATTATTGGCTTCTATTATTTGCTTCTATTATTAGCTTCTATTATTAGCTTCTATTATTAATGTTTAACCTGGCATAAAACACTACACTACAGCACTCAATTAGCATAGCGGTTAAATGGTAGAGCTGTTAACTGATAACTCGAGCCTCGAGTTCGGATCCCTGGTTTGAGTCCACTCAGCTTTTAATGGGTACCTGTCTCACGTTAAGGAATCTAAAGGCGGTTTGGCATAGTAATAACCACATTATCGCTTCATACTGCAACTGGTCTACTCTAATTCTCTTGTTCCATGGACCGTAGGATTTTAAAAAATTTACGTTTACTGCAACACACACACACATACACACACACACACACACACATACACACACACATACACCTACCTTGTCATTTTCATAGGATTTAAAAGCAACAATCAAGGAGACGTTATACTGTGTGACCAGTCTCCAGAAATCATTGACCGTAGTGGGCATGGGCAGCTGGGTCAGAAACTGTTTGGTCTGGGTGTACAGGCTCTGGTTTTAGATGGGATACAAATCAATAATAGCAGAATAATCAAGCATAAATCACTGTTAGCCCAATAATCAAGAACAAATCATTAATAGCCCAATAAACAAGTACAAGTCAATCTTGTCACAACCATGAACACTTTTCCGGTTGCATAATTTATAATGTGTTTCTACAATCGTATATCGTATATTGCTAAATTTTTATTTTCTTTCTTTAAATAAAAATTAGTTTGTACATTTATAACATCCACTATATTATTGTCAACAAAAGTCCGCATCATTAAGTACTCGATATATCGCTAAACATACTTATCATATAGCCTCAAAAATATTGCGAACAGAGAGAGAGAGAGAGAGATAAGTGCGCAATGGGCTTTTATATATTAGGATTGTATACAATTAAAAACATTTAAAAACTAAGCGAAAAAACAGAGTCTTACAGGTAATGTGACAGCATTGATATAGCCCTCTTCTCCGGGGGAATCCACTTGTAAAAGAGGTTGATACTTTTTGTCTAAACAATACATAGATTAGTTAATTGATCAGAAATAATTTATAGTATAAGCCGCTTGTGTCATTTCTCTACTTCCGTTCGTCGGTCAACAGTATAGCTACTTTGTCTTCGTTTCTCAAGCTTCATTTCAACTCACGACAGTAAGAACATTATTAATGGAATACACGGCCGTTTGTTTGATTAAGCAATTTAATAAAGCGTTTGCGGTTATATTTTATTTTGTGTTTGCATTTTTATTTGCGTTTGCGTTTGTATTTGCGTGTTGCGTTTGCATTAGCGTTTGTGTTTAAGTGATGCGTTTGCCATAGCGTTTGCGTTTTGTTTTGTTTTGTGTTTATGTTTGCGTTTCCTTTTGCGTTAGCGTTTGCGTTTGCGTTTGTGTGTGTGTGTATGTGTGTGAGTATGTGTATTTGTATTTGTAGGTGCATGTGTATGTGTATGTGTATGTGTATGTGTATGTGTATGTGTATGTGTATGTGTATGTGTATGTGTATGTGTATGTGTATGTGTATGTGTATGTGTATGTGTATGTGTATGTGTATGTGTATGTGTATGTGTATGTGTATGTGTATGTGTATGTGTATGTGTATGTGTATGTGTATGTGTATGTGTATGTGTATGTGTATGTGTATGTGTATGTGTATGTGTATGTGTATGTGTATGTGTATGTGTATGTGTATGTGTATGTGTATGTGTATGTGTATGTGTATGTGTATGTGTATGTGTATGTGTATGTGTATGTGTATGTGTATGTGTATGTGTATGTGTATGTGTATGTGTATGTGTATGTGTATGTGTATGTGTATGTGTATGTGTATGTGTATGTGTATGTGTATGTGTATGTGTATGTGTATGTGTATGTGTATGTGTATGTGTATGTGTATGTGTATGTGTATGGGTATGGGTATGGGTATGGGTATGGGTATGTGTATGTGTATGTGTATGTGTATGTGTATGTGTATGTGTATGGGTATGGGTATGGGTATGGGTATGGGTATGGGTATGGGTATGGGTATGGGTATGTGTGTGTATGTGTATGTGTATTTGTATGAGTATGAGTATGAGTATGAGTATGTGTATGTGTATGTGTATGTGTATGTGTATGTGTATGTGTATGTGTATGTGTATGTGTATGTGTATGTGTATGTGTATGTGTATGTGTATGTGTATGTGTATGTGTATGTGTATGTGTATGTGTATGTGTATGTGTATGTGTATGTGTATGTGTATGTGTATGTGTATGTGTATGTGTATGTGTATGTGTATGTGTATGTGTATGTGTATGTGTATGTGTATGTGTATGTGTATGTGTATGTGTATGTGTATGTGTATGTGTATGTGTATGTGTATGTGTATGTGTATGTGTATGTGTATGTGTATGTGTATGTGTATGTGTATGTGTATGTGTATGTGTATGTGTATGTGTATGTGTATGTGTATGTGTATGTGTATGTGTATGTGTATGTGTATGTGTATGTGTATGTGTATGTGTATGTGTATGTGTATGTGTATGTGTATGTGTATGTGTATGTGTATGTGTATGTGTATGTGTATGTGTATGTGTATGTGTATGTGCATGTGCATGTGCATGGGCATGGGCATGGGCATGGGCATGGGCATAGGCATGTGCATGTACACTTGCACGTGCTTGTGCTTGTGCTTGTGCTTGTGCATGTGCATGTGCATTTGCATTTGCATTTGCATTTGCATTTGCATTTGCATTTGCATTTGCATTTGCATCTGCACTTGCATTTGCATTTGCATTTGCATTTGCATTTGCATTTGCATTTGCATTTTCATTTGCATTTGCATTTGCATTTGCATTTGCATTTGTCTTTGTCTTTGTGTTTGTGTTACGGTTGTGTTTGCGTTTGCGCTTGCGTTTAAGATTGTGTTTGCATTTGCGTTTACGTCGATTCTATATTTACACTGACCAAGTAGAATGTCGATTCTATATTTTCATTTATTAGGTAGAATGTCGATTCTATATTTACACTTACTAGGTAGAATGTCGATTCTTTATTTACATTTACCATGTAGAATATCGATTCTATATTTACTCTTACCAAGTAGAATGGTGTTTCTATATTTACACTTACTATGTAGAATGTTTAATCTGTCGTTACGCTGAGTGATAGAATGTTGTGCCTATTTTTACACTTAACTAGTAGAATGTTGAATCTGTCCTTACACTTAGTAGTAAAATATAAAAACTATTTTCACACTTACTATAGTTAATATCGTTGCACACTTACCTGGTGCAATATCGAATGTTGTGTTACACCTCTTACATACTTAGATTCTAGATTGGTGAATCAATCTTACTCATAATCCACACTTACCTGATAGAATTTCTGAATCTATCTTTACTGTTAGTATACACTTACCTGGTATAATGAGGAATCTATCTTTACTGTTGGTATTCACTTACCTGGTATAATGAAGAATCTATTTTTACTTTTTGGATCTTGGGTAACGTCCCCTACATCACCAGTAAGTTGTGTCTCAAAACTAAACAGATTCTGAAATAATAAGTATTGAACACCAATTTAATAGTGATTTACTTGAATAAAAATCATGTTGTAAAAGCACATGTTTAACAGTATGTAATGTTTAACTAATTCTTATTAAAGTTAGGTTGGCTGACCCAAGCACCTACCCCGAGGCTAATGAGGCTGCAACCAATGTAGATGAGGAAATAGAGTCTATTAAGTGATATGACTACAAACTATGTGTAACCCTCACTCAGTGGGGATGCTTTTACCCACTGAGGTGTTGTGGTTAATACGGGCTGACCCTGAGATTAAGAACACACTGACACCGACAGTTGTTGTCAAGTACTCCTTTATTCACAGCATCGAGCCATGACGGCGATGCAACACAGTAGTACGACGAGAGAAAATACTGAAGCAACAAGAAACCAAGAAAACAAAAAAAAAACTGTAGCCCTAAAACAAATGTAAATAAAAAGTTACATTCATGACAACACCACGTGTAAGCTACAATATACACAGTTACAATAAAATATGTTTCGGCCAGTACACAGTACTGCCAACAAGTACCAATAAGTAGTACTACAAATAAATACTTATATTAATACTCACCCTAACTAGTGTGCACGTGCAGCACTAGCAGGAATACACAAATAAGTATTTTAACAAACATAATTTATGTAACTACACTACCTTCATTAGGTCTACATCTTGGTCACCGTGACCACAGACAGCAGGCTTGCGTGTGACTGACACGGCTAGGCATGAAACTACCTACAGTCCCATGACACAGGTAAAATCGCTCACCAGAGCATGAAAAAAACAACTACGTCAACAGGGCCACGACCCCACAGGGGCCGCAACTCAATGAATTAAAACTTCATATTTTCCCCTCCCCTGGCTGGTAACCATATGTGTTACATATGCTTTTTTACTTATGTTTCGGCAACCTAATCTGGTACAAAAGATAATGCATAGTATTCCTTTGAGATATTCCGGCACACTATACTGGTTGTATCTGATAGTCGAAAACATAATTTATTAAACATATTATATAGTTGTAAGAAACCATACTCCCGCATAATAAGAGCTGCCGAGTGTCGAAAAAAAATATTATTCATTGAACATTGATGTCTTCATCAAAATATTTTTATTTACAATCACAATACGAAGAAACAAAGCCACTGAATACAAACTTACATTGAATTCATTTTCAAAATTATTTTTCCCGTTGACAACGTTCCCCATGAGATGTACTTTGAGAAAGATGGCGCTGATGTGTGTGTAGCTGCCTATACAGGCGATGCCAGCCTGCGCGGCGTGGTGCAGATACATGTACTGCTCCTGGAAAACAAATGCAAGTAACTAGTCCCTCTCTCTCTTTCTCTCTCTCTCACTCTCTCTCTCTCTCTCTCTCTCTTTCTCTCTGAGTCCTGGTCAAGGAGCATATTCTGCTCTTGGAAGACACATGTTTCGTTATTTAACTAGTCTCTCTCTTCCTCCCTCTATCCCTCCCTCTCTCATTCTCTTCCTCCCTCTCCTTCTCTCTCTTTCTCTCGTCCACTCTCTCCTGGTTTGCCCCACTTAGGTTTGGTGTCATTTAGAGCGTACTCAAGTGGTCTGCACCCTTGGAAGCTTATTCTTTAAAAAATTAAATTTTTCCTGCTTTTCCATCTTGTTTCAATATTTCCCGTCTTTGTCTTTGATTCAATAGTTGTGGCTACTACTAATCCTACTCTTGAATTGTTAAAAGATAAAGGCGATGTACAATGTAACCTCTACATACGAGTTTAATGTCAACATTTTTTTTTGTTCACTCGATAACTCTATTCTAAAACATCTCGCGTGAGAGTTATTTTGAAAACAAAATATCAATTTCTTTTTTTTTCTTATCAATTACAATATTAGTGTAATTTAATATTGTTTTAGAATTTTTCAGAATCTAATATCAAGTTAAAAATTCGCCATAAAATAATCTAAATATTATGTTTCATTTAGCAAATAAATTTGCTACGTTTTTGTTTTAAACATTTTATGAAGGAAATAATTTTAATCTTTCGTTGAAGGAAAAAATCTTTGCAATTTGTTAGAATATTTCATTTAATGTTTCGTTGTTTTTTTTTTTATTTTATTTTTTTTATACTAAAGAGCTAGTCAGAAAACATTGCAAGTGTAAAAATGTCATTTCTTGTAACATGTTAATAAATAAAGAATGTTTTTTTTTAAATTATGATTAGAAACATTTATGTTGTATAGTTAGTTAAACCAAGAATAGTTTAAAGTTAGAGTTGTAGACATCAAACTCACATAGGTTTGAACCGTGTTGGGCATGTCTTGTCGGAGTCTAGACACCGTGTCGACAAAGTCCACGGCTTGGTTCAGCTTGGCTTGACGGATCAAATCGTGTAGAGCTATAAACACGGAGCTTCTCGTTGTGTCCATCCTGTTAGATACACACGGGAAATAATGTGTCAAATGTGGTGCCTATATACAATGGCAGAAGTAGTTGATAAAGTACAGACTCGCTTCTGTTATCTCTGTATTAAATGCTATACATCTATATATAATACTTACTCGAGAAAATTTATATCAAATATAACCACCATATTAACTACTTTACTAACAAAAAAATAAATTAAATGGTATATATATATATATATATATATATATATATATATATATATATATATATATATATATATATATATATATATATATATATATATATATATATATATAGTAACAGTTAATACATGTTGTAAAATATAATGTCGTTTTTATGTCTTTCCAAGCTTACCCAGAATGCACCAGTGTGACAGTTTCCAGAGTGTTGAAGAAGACCTTATGTTCAAAGTCAACCATACTCCACATACACGGGTCAGACCCGTCTTCCGGCCAGGCCGTGTACTGGAAGTGGGTCAACTGACGTGGCGGGTTGTCGTCCTTGTCATTGGGAAGACAGAAAGAAACAAGCATTATATTTATAGATGGCAGAAAATTCGATAAAACCTAACACATCCTATGCTAATGTGAGTTTTTGTAATATCCTTTCCTTCATTCGATATGGTGTGTAAATATAATTGTTTTGTTTTTGTATGACTTTGTTCTAGTACTTTTAATTATGTTGCTGTTTACTGTAAATATAAATTAGAAGCGAGAATTCGGAAAACGTTCATCTCGTGTATGCTTGTTGTCACTAAGTAAATTGATATGAGACAGCATGGTCGGGCGTCTCAAGTTCGGATCCCGGGTTCGAATCTGTGTCACGCCCCATAGCCCACTAAGCTTTGATAGGTTCCTGACTCACATCAGAGAGCAAATTCAGCTGGTCATTTCACTAACCACACTATCTTCATATACCGTGGTCATGGAAATGGGTAAGCTCTACTTCATCCGGACTAGTGACTGTCAGATACATAACAGTATGCAATTTTACTTATAAATAATACATTTAATACAATTTAAAAGTTCATACAAAAATAAATATAGTAGTTTTTTTTCTTCAAAGGCTTCGCAAAATATCTATCTATATCTTACTTTGTCAATGCGCACAAACGTAATATTTGTTATTTCTTGTATTTTAGTGCTCTCTCACTCGACCTTGAAATTATAGTTTAAATTTTATACTGTTTTAAAAAAATAAACTTTTGAATTCAAATAAAATTTACTTTTGTAATTTCCAAAGTCCGAATAGTATAATCTAAAAAAACTTCTGTTTTCACCGTCTTCACTCTATAGCAATCAATTATTTGATCATTCATTGACCAGTAGTTGTCTTCATTCTGAAAAATATGACGTTTTGATAAAGTATTTTCGAACAAAAAATTATAAACAAAACGCTGTTATTAACATGTTTTCTATACCAATCTTACACGTTTCAAAACACATTTTACGGTGGGAAAATCCGAAATATTATCAACAAGCCGTCTCGGCCAGGCCCTGCTCTAGCCTCTGTGAGAAACCTATCTGTAAAGGACCATGACATGTTTTTTTTTTTTTTGTAATCAGCATATATCCGGCATTGCCCACACTAACCACAACCAACCAAAACCAAAACACACAAAAAAAGAACCGCGAACATAACACAAACAACCACAACCCAATTACAATGAGAACTAAAGGACAAAATGCAAATACATTTCAGACACAATTTTAGAAATTTTATAAACGTTGATACACTTGTTTTAAATTTTATGTAATGTTAATAATTGAAAATTATTTTTCTAAGTATATAAAATGAAAACTGTTTTTAAAGACTTTCAGTAGTAATTTTTTATCTCATAAATTTAGACCATAAGCACTATAATAATCTACACTTAAATCCATCGAAGTGTCCACGACAAACATTTTACAAACAGTCAGAAGTGAACTTTATATATTCGATTTAATGTGATAATGGAGCAGTACTCTGATGTTTGTGTGTTTTGGCAACCTACATCGTTTTTGCCTGTGCTGACCATGGCGACTTTTGCAACTTGTTTGTCCCACAGCAGATTGAGAAAGAGAACCTCAGTCGCAGCAACCGGAGCTACGAGAAGATGTGAAGAAAATATGATTAGAAAGGATTATAAAAACACAGAGGAAATTTTGTAACTACAAAAGGAACTTCATAAACATGTTCAATGATTGGCACTAAATAAGCTATTCAAAACATGGTGAACAAATTATTACTAAAGACGAACCTATACAAAGTGTAACAATACTCTTTACAAACTTCTATTAAAAACTTATGAATAAATGTTATTTACTTAAGCAAATATTCGTTGCTACTTCATCAAGTTTTAGCAAATTTCAATACTGATTTTAGTAATATTTAAAGTACTTTTTAACTATGTAATGTCTAATTAATTAGATTGGAAATTAGATACTCTTACGTTGTAATTGTAATTAATTTTTAAAAATAATTTTGTAAATTGAAAACAATTTAAATAGTTTTTATTACACTAAAACCATCATAAAAAAAAGTTAAATTAATTTCAGTACCTTAGGTTCAACTTCACTCAATGATAAAAATGTGTATACTAATTACAAAGTCAGTAATCCTAGCTAGACTTAACAGTAACACATTCTACAAGAGAATATGTAAAACGTTAACAAGTTACCTTGTGATACTATTATTTCTTCTTTAGCCAACTTAAAGAAATAGAATAATTCAACATGGTTAGTCAAAATTAGAAATATTCAGTTTTTTTATATTCATGTTTTAACCCAAAATCTAGTTTATTAATATATCCAAAGTAACAAATTGAGTATTATTGATGTATAAACGTAATAAAATATGAATGTGCAAAATATGTATTACCCGAAATGAATAAGATAAAAACAGCATTTGTCATGTATAGGAAGAGAGAGTTAAGTTATTGATTTTACATTGTGTTGCCGGTATGAGTTAGCGTCTTGTTGTAACAATAATTGAAAACCAAGTTATAAACATCTTGAGATATTTGTAGAACATACACAATAAAATTTACTTCCCCAAATTAACCGGGGTCCTTTTTGTAAAAAGTAATTCCATATAAAATATGGATAATAAACGTATTGATTTTAAAAGTATATGCCAGCAAGTAAATGTACTAACAAAAATCACTTTCATTTTGTGTAGTCAAAACATTTTTTGCTGAAAGATTATTTTATAAAGGACTATTTCTTTATCTAAACAAACACATTTTCGTTTAATTTCTTTTTAAGTACTTTAAAAGCCTTATTTTACAAAAGTGTCTACTTCATTATTTTACTGTTTAATAATTAGAAATTAAAATTGCAAAGATAAATGTAAAACTTAAAGTTGTTTAGACGAATATCTTTATTTATTTTTATATATCGTGTATTTATTAGAGGTTTTAGTTTAAGATCAGATAATTAGCGAGCGCTTTTTTCTCTAGACGACACACCTGTCTCATTAACGTCGGTCACTAAGTTTCAGGTGTGTAAACTCACGATTACAACACACCAGTCTCCCCCCCCCCCCCCCCCCACTCTCCCAAGTGATTACAGCTAATTTCGCTACCGACTCTAGGAATATTTAAAATATATTTAAAATAATTAATGATGTAATATCTAATTAGATTTGAAATTATATACTCTTGCATTGTCATTGGAAATAAAAATTTCTGGAAAGATTGAGTTACTCGATTCAACAGGAACCCTACCAGACACGGACGATTTAATTAAATTAAAAACAAATCAATACATATTAAATAATCGAGCCTTACCGCCAGGAATGAGGGGCTGAGCAAATTGACAGGACTTTTCTCAGGCCACGGTGTGACGTTGATGCATGCATGGTCATCTGGGGATGCAGACCAATGGTCAGTTAGGGTGTAAAAGGTGTTTAAATAGATATGAAGAAATGTGTGTGTAATGGGGATGTTAGTTCTTGTTTGTTGATGAATTGAATTTTTTAAACGTATTTTAAAATAATAATTTGAAATTAAGAAAATTGAAAATTAAATCAATAGTATAGTGAACATTGGTCTGATGGCAAACATTCCGTCACATTATTTTAGAGCTATTTGTCATTACTGTCGCACCCTTCTATACTATGTCACGCACTGCAATACTTATATATTCCCTGATTTACTCGTTACGCGTATACAACACTTTGTTCTATTTATTTATTATTTTAAGAAAAAATGCATTCAGACTCTAATTCAGTAAATCAAGGGTTAACATCCCACTTAGACGTAAGTTACAGCTTTCAACATTCACGTGATAAATTCAGGTCTCACCCAATAACAAACATAAGCTTATTTCCTCACACACACATTTCAAACATAAAACGATGACGATTTAATAAAAAAAACAACGACTTACAGGTACCATCTGTGTCCTTTTTCTCCGATGTTTTTTTACCAACATACACAGTCGGTATAGACTGTGGAAGATAAATACTATCATGTAAAAAATAACACAGAAAAAGTATTTTTCATTAAGCATTTTTAAAATATACTTGAAGTAAACACACAATTAAATTTCAAAGAAACGAAAAAGAAGAAATAATTCATTTTTTAGTGACTACCTTGAACTGGTTAAGAAAGAATTCCTTGTTGTGTCCCAGTATGTAGACCTTGAGATTCGCGATGGGTACTGACGTATCTGTTTTGGTGGTTTCATTCGGAAATAAATAAAACATACACTGCTATAACACGACATTAATACACATATAGGTGACGGACATTCATCCAAAGGCAGGTGTCTTAAAAAGACGACAAATCCCCAATGTGTTTTTTTCTCCAAAAAGAACACACACACACACACACACATACATATATATATATATATATATATATATATATATATATATATATATATATATATATATATATATATATATATATATATATATATATATTCAACATGTACATATCATAAACATCCTCATATACAACACAATAAGAATGAAATCGGTAAAATCGAGAGACAGAATAAAATGAAACAGAATAGGATTTACCTTCGACAGCCTCCGTCTTAACTGTTTTCCTTTTTCTAGACAGATAGAGGATACGTGGTTTAGAATATATTTTATAAGCAAATCCCACCAACACAATTCAATATTTCCTATCAACTTTTCATGTGCCATATAGGCCGTTGACTCTGGTATTTTCTATACTCTTTCTTTTATGGTTTTCTTCTTGGATTGGATTCAATAGCCTTTGTCCAACCAAGAACAAACTATAAGGCAGCAATTGTTTGATTTTAGAGGTGCCTCTCCCAGATGAGTAGCAGTCCCCAGCTATTAAGCCTCGTCTGTCCGGGTTTCAAACTCGAGACTTCTCGAATATTTTCTCTTATTTAGTCTGTTCACAATTGCAAATGTATTGAAATAGAACAAGTGATTAAAT